TTCCTTACTGTTGTTTAGGCTGTGTTGGCTCCCTCTTTCCCTAAAGCAGTGGCTGCACCCAAACTGACTCTTGGGGATGATCTTGTTCCATAATAAATCCTAAACTCTTTCCTAGTTTCAGCAATTTAACAGTGGAGGTCACAGAGTCACAGAATGGTTTGGGTTGGAAAGGACCTAAAAACTCATTCTGTTCCACCCCCTGGCATGGGCAGGGACACCTTCCACTGTCCCAGGTTGCTCCAAGCCCTGTCCAACCTGGCCTTGGACACTTCCAGGAGTGGGGACACCACAGCTTCTCTGGGCACCCCGTGCCAGGGCCTCCCCACCCTCATAATGAGGAAATTTGGTGCTGCATTGTTGTTTAAATTCACTCAAGCACTTGTTCAGCCCATATGAGTATCCCAAATGGAAAAAAAAGAGCACTTAATATTTAATTTTTTTAAAATCTGACCAACAGGACACAGGTGTTTTATGATTTCCCAGATATTTGTGTTCCTTTGTAGGTCTTTCCTGCATTTCTGGCTCACATCCCTCAAATTTCAGGGCCAAACTGGTGAATTTGAGATAGAAAACTCATTTTTCCTAAAAGGACAAAGAATAGAGACATCTATTCTTATGTCTCTATTTTTTGAGACATCTTTTTTATATGTCTCTATCACCTTAGAACAGTTCTTATGTCTTAGAACTGTTCTAAGATGTCCCTGTTCACAGGGTTGTACTTTAGCCATACTTAGGAGGGAGAGGACTTTGAGTGCTTAATTTCATAACTTGTAAAACCTGGCAAATTTCAAAAGCAAAGAGCAAAGTGTGTCCCCTCCAGCCCTCGAGTCTGTCACCCTCCCTGGGCTGGCGATGGTTTTGCTCTCAGCACAGACGAGGAGCTGCCACACTTGACAGTGCAAAGGCAAACACAAGGGCACAGAGGAGAGGCAGGAGGAGCTGGGGAGGGAAATGCTCCAGCCCCGGGGCAGCTCAGCGCATGCTGAGAGCTGCAATTTGCTCCTACACCTCCACAGAGCCTCTCAGCACAAAAACAAGAGCAGTTTGCATGTCTGAATAAATCAGCTTCTCGGGGGCAGGTTCTCAGCAGGGCCCAGCTGAGGCTCTGTGGGTTTGTGTCAGTCCCACAAACCTGGGTCTGGCACGGGTCACCTGAGGTGACAGGCCCAGAAAAGCAGATTTTTGGGTTTGTTCTTGCTGGAATGGCTCTTGAGGTACTAAAAGGTCTTTTTTCTCAGCTTTGTGCTTGAAGAAGAAGTTGGGATTTTTCAGTTCTGGCTTTTAAGGTTGTTTATTTTCTCTTATCTCATACATTTTCTTTTGGACTAGTGGAGTCTGTCCAGCAGGTTAGGTTGAGGCATACTGACTGCTCTCAGGGCACTGTTATCTTTTTATACTAAAAACTACATGTACTTTATTTACAATAATTTTTAAATACTTATTACCTAAGTTAGACACTTTATCTTAAACTAATTTAAAAGTGCTACTATCACAGCAGAAGATGGAGGACAAGAAGAAGAAGAAAGACAGGACACATTTAGATTCTTTCATTTTGCTTTTTGAACTTCTAGTCCAAAAACTTTAAAATTTTACTTTTTCACCTTGTGATAAATTTACTATAATTTTATTCAAATTTTTGTGGGCTGTAACTTTTCCCATAAGGTTGGTAACTGTTTCTATGAGTTAAAATTGATGTCTTTGACTCCGTGCCAAACTTTCTGAGCCCCTGCCAGGGTTTCAAGTCTTTTAGGGCAGTTAGAGGAATTGGGTCAGTCTTGGGTTCTGACAGCAGATGGACAACAAAACCTTGGGTTTGGCTTTTGCTTCACTCCTCAACATGAGCAGCCTGAACCTGGCTGAAGCCAAAGCAGAGCAGACTCTGAAAACACAGAGGAAAATTCCTTGCAGTGTCAGATTATGGCTTTTGTGTGGATTGGGAGTGACAAGAGATAGGGCAAGAGGAAATGGCCTCAAATTGCACCAAGAGAGGTTTAAATTGGATATTAGGGAAAAATTTCTTCAGCAAAAGGGTTGCCCAGGGCAGAGGAGGAGTCCTCATGCCTGAAGGGGTTTGAAAGCTGTGTGGATGTGGCTTGGGGACATGGTTTAGTGCTGGCTGTTGGAGTGCTGGGGAGTGGTTGGACTCAGTGATCTTAAAGGGCTTTCCCAGCCTAAAGCCTTCTATAACAGCACCAAATTTACTCCCCTGCCTCTGCTGCTTTTGGCTGGGATAGAGTTAAATCCAGAACTGGGTGGTCCTGTACCAGCTGCCTGATGGGAGCAGCCCCCAGCATGTGCAAACTCCTGAAGCTCCAAGTGCTTGGCAGGAGCTCCCTGGGACAAGCCAGAACCATCCCAGGGTGATGCTGTTGAAACAACCCAGCCTGAACAGGCTGGGAGCTGTGCTGAGGGTTGTTGGGGCTGATGGAGCTGCACACTCTGCATTTCACTCCCTAAGGACAAGGCTGCTGCACTTCTTTCCTGCATGGAAAGAATCTCCACATTCACCAGCTTTTGCCTCTTCATTGGCAAGGTGAACCCTACAGACCCTAAATAACCACTTTGTGGGATCACAGAATCGTGGAATGGTTTGAGTTGGAAGGGACCTTAAAGGTCATCTTATTCCATCCCTGCCATGGGCAGGGACAACTTGCACCATCCCAGGTCACTCCAAGCCCTGTCCAGCCTGGCTTGGACACTTCCAGGGATCCAGGGGCAGCCACAGCTTCTCTGGGTGCCCTCCTCACCCTCACAGGGAACAATTCCTTCCCAATATTCCATCTAACCCTGCCCTCTGGCAGCAGGAAGCCATTACCCCTTGTCCTGTCCCTCCAGGTCCTTATCCAAAGTCCCTCTTCATTTTTCTTGTAAGCTGCTTCAGGAACTGAAAGACCACAACCAGCTCATGCCAAAGCCTTCTCCAGGCTGAACAATTCCAATTCTCTCAGCCTTTCCTCACAGCAGGGCTGCTCCATCTCTCTGCTCATCCTGGTGCCTCCTCTGGACTCTCTCCAGCACCTCCAGGTCCTTCCTGCGCTGGGGCAGCTCTGCAGGTGGGGTCTCACCTGAGAGAGGCAGAATTCCCCCTCCTCTGCTGCCCACACTGGGAGATCAGCACAGGATCTGGTTGGTTTCTGGGCTTCACCCTGCTCTGGAGCCTCCCTGATGGCTCTGCTACCACAACAAGAGGAAAAATCTTGTCTGTGTTGGGATCTTTGGAAGCTTGCTCCTTTATTTGACAAGAAACTGCATTTCACCCCTGAAATGTAATGTGAAATGCACCTTTTGGTTCCAGCATCATGTGATGGGATGGCTTGGCTGTGCTGGCAGCTCTTACCCACACTTGTGCCTCCAGCTCAGCTATTTCACCCTGTGGTCAGTCAAAAAATTGCTCTCTCTTTTTGGGGAAATTGTTCTAAATTACCAGTCATGTCCAGATTCAGCAAAGGCTGGTGTAATTAAGTGGCTGGGAAATGGAAAGTGAGGAACAATTAGGGTTTTCTTGGCCTTTTCTCGTCTTTAATTCAAACTTTCAGTTTTTGACAGATGGTGGTTTAGATACCACACCCCAGTCTGAGGGGTAGAGTCAAACTCTGAGACAATTTGTACTTCCATCATGGGCAGAGATTGAAAGAAAACCCCAAATCTTTTCAAATCCAGGGTTCTGAGAAGGAAAATCTGCTTCTTACTCTCTTTGATCATCTTGAGATTCGGGGTTTCCATCAAGTGTGAATTTAAGATTACACCCAGATTCTGGTCACAGAACTGAGGTTCTCCAGAGCACTGAGGGCTTGTAGGGAATCATCTCCAAGCTGTTCCTAATAGTCCTGAATTCCTGAAATCATGATCCTAAGAAACAAAGTCACCAAAGTGCAATGTCCAGAACCACCTCTGTAAATAAACCCTCAGGGGACCAGCGGAGTTGGGAGAATGCAGCAACAGAAAGCTGACAAATCAGCATTATCTGAAGCAAAAGTCACAAAGAAATCTTTAAAACTGTTATTTATTTTTGTCAGAAACTTTCCTCAAGGATTTCAGTGCTGCTCTCAAAAACAAAGTGTCTGCACAGGAACATTTTCACAAGTGTTTGCCACAAGTGAGGTCTCAGCTCCTGCTGCAAATATTCCTGCTGGGACTCACAGGCAAAATTCCAACTGGGCAAAAGAAACAAAGCCACATGTCATGAGTCACTTCCAGTGATTTGGGCCAAATAATAAAGAGTATTCATGCCAGTGAGGAGAAGGCAAGTGTGGTTTTGGTGTCTGATTACTTCTACTCTTGTGAAGAGCACCTGAGCTCAGTCTCCAGCTGCCCTGACAGGGACATACCCATCCTATCAACCTCCAGGGAATAACAGAATACCCTAAAAGGGAAAGGACTCACAAAATCATCAAGTCCAACTACTGACCCTGCACAGGACAACCCCAAAATCACTGGATGTGCCCAAGAGTGTTTTCCAAACATTTCTTGAGCTCTGTCAGGACTGGGGCATCCCCCTGGGAATTATCCCCAGGCTGTGCTGACTCCTGAGCTCAGCTGGGAGCTGGGTCAGGCCCAGGATAAATTTGTGCCAAAAACCAAGATAGCAATGTGACAGAGAAAAGGTGAATTCCAGCCCTGGCTCTCTGAATTTTCCTAGCACAGGTTCCTAGAAAAGACAAAGGACTTTTGTCCCCTCCTTTTCTGTGAAATATCCAGCACATAACAAACATAAATAAGCAGATGTGGGAGACAAGGCCTAAGGTTGGGATGGGGGGATGACAGAAATGTGGACTGGGTTTGAATCAAGAAAAAACAACAAAAGATGGGCCTGGAAGAGCCAGGTGTGGAAAACAAAATGAGTGACGGAAAATTCAACAAGTGATGAAAAACACAATGACTGATTGTTGCTTTTCCACCTGGGGCTGAAGGCAGGTAGCAACAAGGAGTTCCCCCACTCTTTCATTTTTATCCCTCTTGAAAATCTGTGCTAGCAGGGACAGGGAGAGGCAATCACTCACCAGCTCCTTCCTGAGCCACGTCAAAGCCTCGTCGATGCTCTCAAAGCCACCTATCCTCCCTGAGGTGACAGTCCCCTTGTCCTGGGCAGGGCTCCCATTGAGGTGCAGCTGCACCTTCCTCATGGGCACAGTCTCCCCTGGGCTCTTTTTGCCCTTGGTGGCCTCGTCCTCCCTGTCCCCCTCGGCCTGGGGGCTCTTCCAGGCCTGCTCCTCCAGCTTTGCCTTCCATTCCAAGTAGGAAGGGCGCCTGGTCTCCAGTCTCAGCTTCTCTGTCAGTGCCTTGAGGGTCCTCAGGTGATCATCTGGAGGAGGAACCCCCCCAGAGCCAGCATCCATGCTGTCCAGAGCCTCTTCTATTTGGATTTGGGGCACAGCCATCCTCTCTGGGAGTCCAAAGGCATAGAGGTGGGCTGGAAAGGACCAGGGATGGAGATGAGAATCCTCAAGTTTTGACCAGGGTGCTCAGCACAGCTCCCTGGAGGACAGCTGAGGTGTGGGCCCCTCCTCAAGCACCAAACCAGCCTTGGATGAACACCTAGAAGGAAAGAAAAAAAAAAAGAAAAAGGATTGGTTTTGAGAAGGAAAAGGGAGTGAGGAAAGAGAGACAGCTCTTGTGAGGGTTTTGGGAGAGGCTCAGTGCCAAGGTGCTGCAGGGGAGGGTGACCTCACCTCGGTTATCTGAGTGCTCTGGGGCAGGAACAGACAGGCTCTGGCTTTCAGCAAAGCTGTGGTTACCTACACCTCCAGTCTTAACTCCAGGGGCCACAGAAGGGTGGCCAAGGAGGCCAGGACACATTCCCAGACCCAAAAATCCTCTGGAGACAGTAGTGGCTGCTGCTGGATGTTGGGTTGTCTGGTTTTGCTGATTTTCTGCCTGGCCAACCCACATTTCCCCATCTGGGCAAATCAGGTCCAGATGAAATAGGACAACCTGAAAGAGGGGAAGTTTGGATTAAATTTTAGGGAGAAATTCTTGGCTGTGAGGGTGGTGAGGCCCTGGCACAGGGTGTCCAGAGAAGCTGTGGCTGCCCCTGGATCCCTGGAGGTGTCCAAGGCCAGGTTGGACAGGGCTTGGAGTGACCTGGGATAGTGGAAGGTGTCCCTGCCCATGGCAGGGCTGGAATCTTTAAGGTTCTTCCAACACAAACCAATCTGGAAACTCAAACTTCCCCTAAGAGTTTGAGTCAAAAGGAGAACTGGAAAAAGGGATTTATTCTTCCCCACACTGCACTTTAAGATCCAGTTTAAGATCTGGGTTTAGTTCTGGGTTTGCCAAAGCTGCAGCCTGAGGGTTCAGCTCCCTCCTGGCCCAGTGGTCCCAGCCAGGTGAGGAACTCCCTGGGGTGCTGGCATGGTCTGGGCTCAGACACCCAGGGAGATTTGGACTTGTGGTTTCCATCACTGGCCATGCCCAGTTTGTCCAGTGGGAATGGTCCCTTGTAAACACCCTCAGGAGCAGCAGCACAGAGAAGCCAGGAGCTTCCTCCCCACTCCTCCTCCTGCCAGCACCATGGAAGCTGTGCCCACAGCTGGTCTGACAAACCCTGGGACCTGGAGGGGCAGAGAACTCCTCAAGAGTTAAGCTCAGGCAGCTTCTGTGTTCATTTGCCAGCAGGATCAGATAGGAGACATTCTCAAGGTTGTGTGCTCATCTATGGCTGAGCTAGGAATAGATCCAGAGCTCTCCTCTGAACGTCAGGCACAAACCAAAACACTCCTCTGCCTGCCTGGTGAGGTGCCTGGAAAACCAGGCAGGATGTGTGCAGCTTCCTAGAGCCACTCAGCCATTCTTCTCCCTGCCATTCCCACAGAGGCATGTGCAGCTCTGAAATCCAGACCATAATTACGCCTCTCCAACCTTTTCAGCAAGAAGATTCGATTTAAAATAAACACTGAGTGAGAGCAAGACTTATCCCAACGATTGTGTGGGGGGCACACGAGCTGGAGGAGGAGTTGAGAGCATACACACAGACAGTGTGGGGGTGGAGGATTACTCATGTTGTGGTCTCCTTCCTGCTCCTATTTATGTTAATGAGAGTTTTACAGGGAAAAGGAGCACACACAGACACTCTGGCAGGTTGGAGCCAACAGCTCTCGTGCCTGGAACAGCAACAATTTTCCTTTTTCTGTTGGAAAAGAGAGGGGAGAGCACTGGGCTGCTGTGGTGGAAGAGTTCTCTGCAGGGCTCAGGGCATGTCGATGAATTTACCTTTCCTCCTGCTCCAGCCTCCCCAAATCAATAAAGGAAAACAAGTAATGACTCTAAAGACCTCGTTTCTGAGATTTTTTTTCTCTATCCTATGAGACCTCTGTGGAGATTGCTGAGGGTGGCCCAAACCCAGCAATCCCAGAGCCTGCTGCAGTTCCACACTGGATTTGCTAATCCCCAGCAAAGATCATATTTTTATCATTTTCTGAATGCCACAGGTACAAAACAGAGCCCCACACAAATTCTTTTGTCCTGTTTTTCTGTGTGGAATCCTCAGGGTGGCAATGGCCCCTGGTATTTGAGCCCTGGGCACAGCTCAGATAGCATTTAGAGCATTGGACCATGAAAACAGAACAGCAGCTTGGAGCATCCCCTTTGTCACATCTCCCCCTCCTTGTCGCCACAACTCCCAGCAGCTTTGGAGGAGATTTGGTTTTTCTGCCCTAAAAGCAGCATTGATTCAGCCCATCCTTCTCTTTCTCCCTGGTGTAACATGAAAAGTCTCATTCCCTCTGCAGGGACATCCCCTAAATTGGCAGCATTCTCCAGCCTGTCCAAACTCCAAAGTGGCAGAAGGGAGCCACCTCTAATTTCCTATCAATATCTTGGACTTGGATCAAAGACCTGCAGTGGAGAGAGAGATCTGAAAGTTGTAAGTGTGAGAAAAATGCCCTTGTGCTGTAACACTAACCCTGTGAGCTCCCAAACTCCCAGGAACAAACCTGCCCCTGGCTCAAATCCACATCCTCCCAGTCTCCCTGCCCAAGGCTTGGCTCCCCCTGGGCTGGCCTGTGAAAGGGGATTTAAGTGATTAATCCTTGATTTGTCTCATTATCACACCTGCCACAGGGAGTTCGTGCCACTCCTAATTAGGGGTAACGAGTTCAGCCCCAAAACAGGGGGAGGGCTTCCTCACACCTCACTCAGATGAATCCCCCCTTCCCTTAGATGAATCCTGAAAGCACAGAACGCAACAGGTCACTGAGACAACAAAAACCCCCTTTAATTTCTTTCTGGTGTTAGATTTCCACTGGAGAAGTCAACTGACCTACCCCAAGGGATCAGCAGAAGCACCAGCCTGGGATGGAGAAATAACAGGGATGTTAAACTGGGAATTCAACAATTAGCCAAGGAGGAGCTGTGGGGAGCAAATTATTCTTCTTCCTTCACTGTTCCTGGTGGACTGTGGATTCTTGTAACACCATTTCTTATTGCAGAGGAGCAGCAGTGGCTGCAGGAGTGTGTGTTAGAGGAATTCTGCTCCTCTGGAGGCAGGGAAGGCCAAAAATCCTCGATAGGAGAGAAAAGCTCAGCTGACAGAAGCTCTTTTGCCACACACACACACCATGGATGACACTTCTGGCATGGAGCAAACAGGGCAGAGGCAATGCTTCAGCCTGTGGATGACCTTCAAAAAGCACCTCAGCCCCTCTGTGCCTCAGTTTCCCTCTCCCTGAGAAGTCAGTCTGTGCAGCTGGCCTGCAGGGAAAAAGCTCTGAGGTTTTCAGAGATATTCAGAATTCACTTTTGGTGTCTCCAGGTCTCATCTGGGTGTTCATGCTCCCACTCCAGTGGGTGCAGGGACACTCCCTGTGATCCATGGAGTATGGGATGTGCTTCCCTTGATCATTTGCTCTGGAGGTTTGCACAGGGATCACACAGACACCCGCTGGTCCTGCAGAGGAAACCCCTGGAGTAAATCCAAGCTGCCAGCATCCCCATCCAGCTCTGCAGCTCCCAGCAGCAGAGGAGGACCCTGAGCCCGGACAGGTGGGATGAAGGAACACCGAGGTGGAGTGAGAGGTGGGGGACAGTGCCTGGTGTGCAGGGAGAGCTGTGTTTGCCTCCCTCCATGCACAGTGTTGAAGACTGCAGTGCAAGTTGTTTTCCATTACCATTGTATGGCAGATTACCTTTGTCAAGTGGGCAGTTTGCTTTATCTCTCTCTTTGAGTGACCACAATCACTCCTCCCTCTGGAGAGACATCTGCTGATAACAGCTATTGAATGTCACTGCATGGCTGATAAGAACTACAGCATCCCATTGTGAGATGCTCCACCCAGAGGGAGGAGCCAAGCATTCCTACCCAGATATAATCCAGAGGTTTTTGAGACACCAGCACAGCTTTCTCCACTGGATTCCCCAGAGGAACAGCAGCTGCCTCTTCTTCCACTGGATCTTCAGAGGAAGAATACATCCTTCTCTCCTTCTCTACAGGATCCCCCTCACTCCAGAAGAACCACCCCTGACACTTCAGGAGGGCTGCAGCCACATTTCCAATTGGACTGCCACCAGCACCCTGACCCACAGAGTGTCAGGTTGGGTTCTGACTCTGTCAGTGTTGTTCTAGTGTACTGCATTGTTTATTTTATCCTTTTTTTTTTTTTCTTTTCCCTATTAAAGAACTGTTATTTCCTGCTCCCATATTTTTGCCTGAGAGCCCCTTAATTTAAAATTTATAGTAATTCGGAGGGGTGGGGAGGGTTTGCATTCTCCATTTCAGGGGAGGCTCCTGCCTTCATTAGCAAACACCTGTCTTTCCAAACCAAGACACACAGCAATGACACAGGGATGGGGTGGGGGTAACTGACCCCCCCTGGGTGTCTGCTGCAGGTTGGGAGAGGGGCAGAGAGGAGAAGGAGATGCCTGTGAGAAGGGGTTGCCATAGCAATGGAGTAAGGCTGAGGTTGGATGGATGTTCCAGAGCATCCTCAGGGCAGCAGAGACTCAGAGGCCTCAGGAATGGGCTGAGGGAAGGAGAGACCCATCAGGATCAACACTGCAGCTCCCTGGAGCTGGTGGATCCCTTTCAGGGTGGTTGCACATCACTCATTCCCTTCTCCATGCCAGAATGAGCTCTGTCAGGAGAGGAGCTGCTATGTTGTGTGGATTTCGTGAGCTGGGGGTTCCTCACCCTGCCAGAGTCCCCCCCATCCTGCTGGCAGAGGTGGAGAACAAATCTCCAGGCATCCCACTGACCCTGAGGAGAGCTGTTTTCCCTGGATTTTATTATTCAGTGTTTACCCACCCAATCCTTTCTGTAGCAGCTGAAATCCTCCCCTGCAGAAAAGCAGCCTGGTCCCTGGTGACCTTCAGCTTCCTTCCCTTCAAAAGGACAAAATCCCAGCACCAGGAAGAGCTGTCTGATCCCGAGGAGCCAGGACATGCTCCAAGGGCTGGAATTGGTGCTGTGAGGATCAGATGCTCTCTGCCTGCTCAGGATGGTTGGGACAGGATGGAAAGGGC